CATTTCTAAAACTGTTATTGCAGTTAGGAACACAACAGTTGTAGTGCGACACCATGTTTTTTCTCTTTGCTGTCCCTCCAAACGATCCCTAGCGGCTTTGCGGTCGCAACTTGTACCCAGATTACCGCTCGTTTAGAAAATCGCGAATTGACGGTCAGGGTGATTCATAAGCTCTTGAGCCAGGTTAAAGATGCAAACAGGGGTTGATGGAGAAAGGTGGAGAAGACTGGATGGCACGTTGTTAGACTCCTTTCGGGCACTGCATGCTTGGATGGGTTCCACCGCAACCTTGGTTGCTGCAGATGTGCAGAAATTGGCAGTTGACACGGTGGCAGAGACGATGGTTGAAATCACGGCACGTGAGGTTTGGTGAAGGGGCTGAGAGGGTGGCTGGCGGGATGGTGATGGGTGGCTTAGGTGTGCTGGGTTGGGAGGAGCTTGAACTAGTGGTAAATCGTGGAGCGTGGGCTGGAGCACGACAAAAGGACTGGTTGGCCTGGGAGCGAGTGAGACAATTGATGGTGCGGTGGCTGTAGGAGTGACAGGAGATGCAGAAAGGGAACGTTTCCTCTTTTAAGATGTTGTTGTAGAGTTGATGGTTTATTTTTCTCTGCTGGAAGGAGGCAGTCTTGAATTGCCTCAAAGATACGCTTGTGAAACAGTGCAGAATGGAAGACAAGGAAGGCCAGTGTACAAGATTGCAGAGTTACAAATCTGGGGTCTTAGAAGCGTGTGTTTTACAAGGAGAACAATTGCAAGTTTCCTTTGTGTTTTGAAGCGAACATTGAGACAACGGTGTCAAGAAATGGGATGGCATATGAGAGAACAGGAGTTCAGTCAAATTTCAGACCACACCTTGGACACTGTTGTCAGGAATCTACTCTCTGTCACAGAATTCTGGTGAGCGAATGGTGTTGGGAGCTCTCAGAGGACGAGGTCTCCTCGTTCAAAGAAACAGAGTAAGGGAGTCTATTATTCAAGTTGATCCAGTCAGCCATACTTTGCGTTGTTTTAGAGCAGTTCAGAGGCGAGTTTACAATGTAACGAGGCCAAATGCCCTATGGTAAGAGAGTTGAGAGCCCGGGGAAGGAGGGGAGGGGAAGAATCCCATATAAAAAGGACAGGGGTGCTTACTGTACCTTTTAGGAGTTAAAACAGTGGTTTTGTTACTCCTTAGGGTGTTCAGCCTCAAAAGGTCCACAGCAGGAACTTTTCACCGAAGATATTGTGTTGTTTTAGAATTGGTACTTCTTAGGGTGAAGAAACTTTCGAGCCATGCCCACAGAACAGGATCTGGGTAACTCTTAGGGGTTCTTTTTAAAATTTCCGACAAGCACCCCTGTCCTTTTTATGGCGGAGCTCTGGCGGCCCTTCGGGCCGCCAAGCGGAGCCCCATACTCATATGGGAAAGAAAAGGAGTTGA